TCCGTTTCTATGTTTCTGGTTTTGGGAAGTTCTCTGGTTCGGTTCCTTAATTTGTTGTTTCTAGCGTTAAATTATTTAAAAGATTTTTGATTCCTTTAAAATTTTAAAAGTTAGAAAATTATTTGATTTTATAGAAATTATTTATTCATTTTTCCGTTCTAATCTTTTTCTTAAATTTTCTTTTTAAATTTTAGGATGATCCTCTTCCTATAAATGAATTTGTTAGTGAAAAATATGCTGAATTAACAAAAGTCCCATCTTTTGTTTGCAAAGAAAAAGGTTCCCTCGTAATAACCTCGTCAGATTTATTCACTAAATTGTTATTAGTTTCATCATTTTTAATTTTTGATACAGAATTTGAAATATTTGAACCGTTGACTGGTAAAGACTTTAAAAAATTATTTTTTGACGTTCAAAAGAAAATTTGTAAAATTACTTCTGATTTGTAAGGTTGTGGAGGTATTCCCAATACTTTTGTTAATTCAGCATATTTTTCACTAACAAATTCATTTATAGGAAGAGGATCATCCTAAAATTTAAAAAGAAAATTTAAGAAAAAGATTAGAACGGAAAAATGAATAAATAATTTCTATAAAATCAAATAATTTTCTAACTTTTAAAATTTTAAAGGAATCAAAAATCTTTTAAATAATTTAACGCTAGAAACAACAAATTAAGGAACCGAACCAGAGAACTTCCCAAAACCAGAAACATAGAAACGGAAAATAATAAAAATTTTTGTAAATCCCTTAATATTTCCCAAAGAAATCTTCAAAGAACAACCATAATTTAGTTTAAAATAAAAAACAACCTCATCATTTTCATTCTTTTTAACCCATTCTTTAAATTCTTTTTCATTAATTTTCGTTGAACTCACAAGACGAATAAGTGCAGATAAGGAAACAGTTCCCATAAATTTTAATTCCAAAACAATATCTGCAGGCCTGTTCTTTTTTTGCTCGTTTAATTTGACACTCATAATTTTATCAAGCTATTAAATAAAGGAATTAAGCAAAAATTAAAGAAAAAGAAAACCTCAAAGCCAGTTTCAGAACCACCTGAGGACGTCAAACGAACAAAACAACCAGTCAACAATTTAACTAATGGTTCTGAATCCTCAAAATTACTCAATTTTTGAAGATATTCACAAATTAAAACACAATTTTCCAAATCTTTTGCTGTTTTAACAGGCAATTTTGCACGTTTAGCTTTTTCTTCCTCATCTTTCTGAATTCTTTCCAACTCCATCATTGAAGGCAAATTTTCTGCTTCATTCAAAGCAAGTTGAAGTTCAGCAGCTTTATTTTGAATATCATCCAATGTTGGCAATTTTTCATCCTAAAAGAAATTTTAGAAATTTTTCTAATTCGAAATTTTCTAAAAAAATATACCCAAGCCTTCATATCTTCAATCCAATTTCGAAATCCTTGTTCAGTAACAGTCGTAAAACTTTTCATCCAATTTATAATATACCGGCCATAGAAAGGCAAAACCAATTGATAATTAACTCTGGCAACATTTTTAATTTTGTAATTACGAGGCCCTTTAACACAATCAAGAACTCGAACAATATGATATTGACAGTCTTTTGGCTAAAATCAAATAGGTAATTATTAGGGGAAAATAACCACTAGTGAGTAAATTGAGGAAAATCCTATTCTATTTTAGTGTCAATCATACGTGGGTGAAACGTTTCGTTTCGTTGTTTCGTGGGTTTTTTGAATAACGTCGTTCCGTTACGAAACACTTTTTAATTTGTTTAGTCTCGTTTCTTAACGAAACGATTTTTAAAAAATTTTGTTTCGTCCAAAAAAATTTTGAGTTTCGCCCAGGTCTGGTGTTAATGGAAAAGAGTAAATATAAACGGTTCAGTTTCTCTCTCTCGATAATTATCCCTCTAAGCGAAAAAAATAAAAGAAAACCTTATTTTTACGAATTGCTGTCATACAAACAAAACATCCTACAACCACTTGACGAAATCTTTCAAATCCCAATTTTGACAAACTTCGAAGAGTTGAAGGATTTAAAGCAATTTGTGACAAAAGTTTGTCAAAATTGGGATTTGAAAGATTTCGTCAAGTGGTTGTAGGATGTTTTGTTTGTATGACAGCAATTCGTAAAAATAAGGTTTTCTTTTATTTTTTTCGCTTAGAGGGATAATTATCGAGAGAGAGAAACTGAACCGTTTATATTTACTCTTTTCCATTAACACCAGACCTGGGCGAAACTCAAAATTTTTTTGGACGAAACAAAATTTTTTAAAAATCGTTTCGTTAAGAAACGAGACTAAACAAATTAAAAAGTGTTTCGTAACGGAACGACGTTATTCAAAAAACCCACGAAACAACGAAACGAAACGTTTCACCCACGTATGATTGACACTAAAATAGAATAGGATTTTCCTCAATTTACTCACTAGTGGTTATTTTCCCCTAATAATTACCTATTTGATTTTAGCCAAAAGACTGTCAATATCATATTGTTCGAGTTCTTGATTGTGTTAAAGGGCCTCGTAATTACAAAATTAAAAATGTTGCCAGAGTTAATTATCAATTGGTTTTGCCTTTCTATGGCCGGTATATTATAAATTGGATGAAAAGTTTTACGACTGTTACTGAACAAGGATTTCGAAATTGGATTGAAGATATGAAGGCTTGGGTATATTTTTTTAGAAAATTTCGAATTAGAAAAATTTCTAAAATTTCTTTTAGGATGAAAAATTGCCAACATTGGATGATATTCAAAATAAAGCTTATTTTAAATAATTTTTAGTTTGAATAATTATAGCGTGGAAAAGTCTTTGATTTACATAGACGTTTAAGGAAAAAGTTTCGAGCATTTGTTGGAAGCTCATACAAAATTCGACTCGTACCTGTGTACATAACTCTTTTTCTAACTCGAAAATTATTAACTCGAAAACTGAAACTGAGTCACATGTAGGTTCTCAATTTCATTTCCTTTACTGGATATTTACACTGAATTCCAAATGATCTTATTTCTCAATTTTCGAACAGACTCAAATGAAGTTATTGATTTCCAATAACTGAACACTGGCTAGCTTTGTCTGTTTTTTCATTATACGTTTTTTACATAATATGTATATTTTTATTTAATTTTGTTAAAATGTTTAGGTTCTTAATTACTTAAAAGTACATAGTATCTTCATCAAGTTAATAATTCGGATAATTTCATTAATTTGAATGTACATACATAACTGTCAACAAAGTATAAGTTGAATAAATATTGGTTAACAGGTTGTGATTATTTTAATTTTTGTTTAATTGCGAATACTAAATTCAAAAGACACAAACATTTGTGGATGTTTGTGCATTATATTTTATTTAAAAACAATACATACATACATATTTAAAAAATAACAATTTAAAGAGCAATACTTATAAAGCCTCCGGCTGTATTACTGTACTCTTTTGTAGCTAGAGATCATACTTGGCTCCATTCCTTGAACCCTTTATGATAGAGTCATTCTAGAGCCTTCGGTCATCAACACATTTGTTGTTGTGTTGAGCCTGCCCAATCCTGCTCAATAACCCAGAATTCTGGGTACCGTTTCTCGATGTTATATTTTCAGCCTTCGGCCCTCTATTCCTTCTCCACAGATTAACGGTCCAAACCAGGACTGGAGTACACTTCCGTGCCTCGTGTAAAACTGAAAAATTCCAAGCCTAAAGTCGAATGGGGGTGAGCCGCATATTCAAGGCAAAATGTTTGAGCCCAGGTGTGGCTAATCAGCTACACAAAATGGCTAATCACAAACATACTCTGTTGGTAATACTGACCAGCCAGAGAAAGCTTAATGTTTTCTCTTTCACATTTTTTTAAGTTGGTTGGATCTTCTCTTACACTTCAATTTCTACATTTTTCTATCGTAAAGTCGATGAGTTTATGATTCAATGATATTTGCAGATAAGTTTCGGATATTCATGGATACGGATATTAGATCATTTCCTACGGATATGTTCGTATCCGTCGTTTTAAACCTCTAAATATATGTAAAATAGTTAATGTCCTTTCAAACTTTTATCATCTAATATTTTTAAATATTTAGCACGTTATAGTACATACTTTTGTGTCAGGGATGGGCCGTGTCCTGAAAGCGGGACAAAAAGAAAATAGATGCATTACTACATCTGTTTTCAAATTTAGGCTCAATTTAAATTTTTTTGACTGCCCTCTTCGACCTGATACAGGGATGTCACGGTTTTTTTACCCGAAACCCACACTTTTTTCGGCAATAGTTTGGAATTCGCCCCCCCCCCTCTTTTTTTCCTTTCTATTTTTTCCTAGTTTTTTCTCATTTTATGGCAAATTATATATCATTCGAAAGAGCTCTTCGAGCTGAGTCGAATGAGATTAAAATCAATGAAATCTGACATAAGTGAACAAAGTTGTGACCGTTTATTTTATCCACTTGCATTGGCACAAAAAGTTTACCCAAATATGATTTAGCTTCATAATTTTGGTAAGAATGATCAGATCTAGCCAATCATGGTATCATTCGATCGAGCTCGTAGAGCTTTCGAATGATATATTATAAATTATGTATCAAACAAAAAAGCTCAAAATGGTCAGGGAAATGGTGAAAAAAAGGGGGGGGGCGAATTCCAAACTATTACCCTTTTTTCTCAACCTGTGACATCCCTGACCCGATACGAAGAAAATTTTGGAAACCCCGATTTTTTTAAAGATGGCTTTTCCTCGGAACCGTAAAATTTTGAAATTTGCTGGTACTCGTACTTTCATACAGGCCGTATTTTTTTCTCATACTCGTACTATGTACACAGGTACGAGTCGAATTTTGTATGAGCTTCCAACAAATGCTCGAAACTTTTTCCTTAAACGTCTATGTAAATCAAAGACTTTTCCACGCTATAATTATTCAAACTAAAAATTATTTAAAATAAATCCATTTTTGCCCCTTTTTCAATTTTAAGATTACATAAAATTAAATTTTATTAAATTTTATTAAACAAAATTCCTTAATGGAAATTGATAATTCTAAAAAACAAGACAACATTACTGAGAATATTTTAAAAGATGAAGGTAATCCAAATAAGGAGCCTTCTACTCAACCAATCGAAATTGTTGACGAAACTTCACATCTAGATAATAGTCAAGAAGCTCCAGAATTGGAGATGAGGGAAGAAGTTAATGCTTCGCCTATACAAGGAGATAGTGATCTTCAGGTAATTTGTAAATTATTTTTGACCCGAACATTTTTTTATCAATTCTGTTTTTCTCATCTCTCTCATATCCCAAACATTTTTTAAAATTTTGCTTTATTCAATTCTTGTTTTCTCGTAATTTTATCATTTCTATTTTTTCTTTTAACATATTTACGTACATTATGTACAATTAAAGTGGAATTTTTACCACATACATAACTGCTTTTGAAAAAAGAATTGACAATAAAAAAATAAAAAAAAAATTTTTCTTTACAGAAAATTTATCAGAAAACTTTAAAAACAAAGGAAAGTCTCAAGGCTTTGCCTTTATAGACTTTCTTCAATTTTAAATTTTTTTTCTTTGTCTCAAAATAAAACTAATATCTCTTTCAAAAAAAAATTTTTTACAAGAAAAATTTAAATTCTTTTTCCAATCTCTTCAAATATATATTCATCATTTTTGAAGGAATTGTTGTTGTTATTTTAATTTTATTTAATAAAAATTTTTTTGTAGATAATCGAAACAGATGTTTCTACTAATGATCTTTCTTTGGATGAGCCAATTCAAAGTACGGAAGAAATGAAGAAAATTATTTTAACTCAAGGGCAATTGAAACTTTTGGCTACCTCAGAACTTTATGTTTTTCGGCAAACAGTAATTGGAGCTTTTGTTCGTGTTAACATTCCTGGATTGCCTTCGAATTATTCTGATCGTGTTTTTGTAAGGGGTTTTTTTGAATTTTTTTATTTTTTAATGGGGAAGAATTGGGGATACACTTAGGAAATTATTTTTTTTTCTGAAAATCATTTTATATAAGTAATCAGGGTGGCCCTTCCCAAATCACCAAAAGGGGGCATGGCAAGGGCATGGCTTCCCAAAAAGGGGGCGAGAAGGTCAAAAAGGGACAAAATGCCATCCAAATGAGGCAAAAGGGCCATCCTTGTAAGTAAGGGAGGGGCACCCTGTAAGTAAACCACTCTGTAAGCTGATCACGAATCTGATCCCCAATTCTTCACCATTATCTTATATTTTTTAATTTTTTAAAAAAATTTAAAGATTGACCAAATAATTGATATAATCGAACCTTTGAGTTTCCAACATCTCTGGATTGATCGCCATTATCGACTGCGCTTTTTGGGTGATTTTGAAATTGAAAATATCGTTAGTTTGAAGGCCAATCATGATAGTGATGTTCGTCCATGGTTTGATTGTATGGAGGCTAAGGTTATTTTTTAATATTTAATTTTGGGTAGTTTTTTGTTCATGATCACTTTAGGATTCCCAAAAAATAATTTTTGGAACCTAGTCGATGCTAGAAGCCAAGGGCTTTGTTTTTTGATAACAATATCATACATACATATAGTAGTATCCGCCATTTGTCAGAAATAGCAATTGAAAAATATTGCAACAGAAACTGCCGTTTTTCTGGAAAATGACATGCCATTTGCCAATAATGACGATGGCAAACTATCGCAATAAAATGGTGATGGCAATTGGCGGATATTGCAATAGGCCCCTGGGTTTACTCTAATTTTAATGATTTCAAAATTTTATCTTTTTATTCGATTTTCAGGGCGAAATAATTCCAACGCTTCGTTTTGTTCGCCAGAAAGCTAATGAAATTCAAACACAATTGGACACTCTTTCGGCCAAGCAAACTTTGAAAGAACTTGACAAGCAAAAGATAACTTTTACACGTTCAAATTTGTCACAAATTGCTTTAAATCCTTCAACTCTTCGAAGTTTGTCAAAATTGGGATTTGAAAGATTTCGTCAAGTGGTTGTAGGATGTTTTGTTTGTATGACAGCAATTCGTAAAAATAAGGTTTTCTTTTATTTTTTTCGCTTAGAGGGATAATTATCGAGAGAGAGAAACTGAACCGTTTATATTTACTCTTTTCCATTAACACCAGACCTGGGCGAAACTCAAAATTTTTTTGGACGAAACAAAATTTTTTAAAAATCGTTTCGTTAAGAAACGAGACTAAACAAATTAAAAAGTGTTTCGTAACGGAACGACGTTATTCAAAAAACCCACGAAACAACGAAACGAAACGTTTCACCCACGTATGATTGACACTAAAATAGAATAGGATTTTCCTCAATTTACTCACTAGTGGTTATTTTCCCCTAATAATTACCTATTTGATTTTAGCCAAAAGACTGTCAATATCATATTGTTCGAGTTCTTGATTGTGTTAAAGGGCCTCGTAATTACAAAATTAAAAATGTTGCCAGAGTTAATTATCAATTGGTTTTGCCTTTCTATGGCCGGTATATTATAAATTGGATGAAAAGTTTTACGACTGTTACTGAACAAGGATTTCGAAATTGGATTGAAGATATGAAGGCTTGGGTATATTTTTTTAGAAAATTTCGAATTAGAAAAATTTCTAAAATTTCTTTTAGGATGAAAAATTGCCAACATTGGATGATATTCAAAATAAAGCTGCTGAACTTCAACTTGCTTTGAATGAAGCAGAAAATTTGCCTTCAATGATGGAGTTGGAAAGAATTCAGAAAGATGAGGAAGAAAAAGCTAAACGTGCAAAATTGCCTGTTAAAACAGCAAAAGATTTGGAAAATTGTGTTTTAATTTGTGAATATCTTCAAAAATTGAGTAATTTTGAGGATTCAGAACCATTAGTTAAATTGTTGACTGGTTGTTTTGTTCGTTTGACGTCCTCAGGTGGTTCTGAAACTGGCTTTGAGGTTTTCTTTTTCTTTAATTTTTGCTTAATTCCTTTATTTAATAGCTTGATAAAATTATGAGTGTCAAATTAAACGAGCAAAAAAAGAAAAGGCCTGCAGATATTGTTTTGGAATTAAAATTTATGGGAACTGTTTCCTTATCTGCACTTATTCGTCTTGTGAGTTCAACGAAAATTAATGAAAAAGAATTTAAAGAATGGGTTAAAAAGAATGAAAATGATGAGGTTGTTTTTTATTTTAAACTAAATTTTGGTTGTTCTTTGAAGATTTCTTTGGGAAATATTAAGGGATTTACAAAAATTTTTATTATTTTCCGTTTCTATGTTTCTGGTTTTGGGAAGTTCTCTGGTTCGGTTCCTTAATTTGTTGTTTCTAGCGTTAAATTATTTAAAAGATTTTTGATTCCTTTAAAATTTTAAAAGTTAGAAAATTATTTGATTTTATAGAAATTATTTATTCATTTTTCCGTTCTAATCTTTTTCTTAAATTTTCTTTTTAAATTTTAGGATGATCCTCTTCCTATAAATGAATTTGTTAGTGAAAAATATGCTGAATTAACAAAAGTCCCATCTTTTGTTTGCAAAGAAAAAGGTTCCCTCGTAATAACCTCGTCAGATTTATTCACTAAATTGTTATTAGTTTCATCATTTTTAATTTTTGATACAGAATTTGAAATATTTGAACCGTTGACTGGTAAAGACTTTAAAAAATTATTTTTTGACGTTCAAAAGAAAATTTGTAAAATTACTTCTGATTTGTAAGGTTGTGGAGGTATTCCCAATACTTTTGTTAATTCAGCATATTTTTCACTAACAAATTCATTTATAGGAAGAGGATCATCCTAAAATTTAAAAAGAAAATTTAAGAAAAAGATTAGAACGGAAAAATGAATAAATAATTTCTATAAAATCAAATAATTTTCTAACTTTTAAAATTTTAAAGGAATCAAAAATCTTTTAAATAATTTAACGCTAGAAACAACAAATTAAGGAACCGAACCAGAGAACTTCCCAAAACCAGAAACATAGAAACGGAAAATAATAAAAATTTTTGTAAATCCCTTAATATTTCCCAAAGAAATCTTCAAAGAACAACCAAAATTTAGTTTAAAATAAAAAACAACCTCATCATTTTCATTCTTTTTAACCCATTCTTTAAATTCTTTTTCATTAATTTTCGTTGAACTCACAAGACGAATAAGTGCAGATAAGGAAACAGTTCCCATAAATTTTAATTCCAAAACAATATCTGCAGGCCTGTTCTTTTTTTGCTCGTTTAATTTGACACTCATAATTTTATCAAGCTATTAAATAAAGGAATTAAGCAAAAATTAAAGAAAAAGAAAACCTCAAAGCCAGTTTCAGAACCACCTGAGGACGTCAAACGAACAAAACAACCAGTCAACAATTTAACTAATGGTTCTGAATCCTCAAAATTACTCAATTTTTGAAGATATTCACAAATTAAAACACAATTTTCCAAATCTTTTGCTGTTTTAACAGGCAATTTTGCACGTTTAGCTTTTTCTTCCTCATCTTTCTGAATTCTTTCCAACTCCATCATTGAAGGCAAATTTTCTGCTTCATTCAAAGCAAGTTGAAGTTCAGCAGCTTTATTTTGAATATCATCCAATGTTGGCAATTTTTCATCCTAAAAGAAATTTTAGAAATTTTTCTAATTCGAAATTTTCTAAAAAAATATACCCAAGCCTTCATATCTTCAATCCAATTTCGAAATCCTTGTTCAGTAACAGTCGTAAAACTTTTCATCCAATTTATAATATACCGGCCATAGAAAGGCAAAACCAATTGATAATTAACTCTGGCAACATTTTTAATTTTGTAATTACGAGGCCCTTTAACACAATCAAGAACTCGAACAATATGATATTGACAGTCTTTTGGCTAAAATCAAATAGGTAATTATTAGGGGAAAATAACCACTAGTGAGTAAATTGAGGAAAATCCTATTCTATTTTAGTGTCAATCATACGTGGGTGAAACGTTTCGTTTCGTTGTTTCGTGGGTTTTTTGAATAACGTCGTTCCGTTACGAAACACTTTTTAATTTGTTTAGTCTCGTTTCTTAACGAAACGATTTTTAAAAAATTTTGTTTCGTCCAAAAAAATTTTGAGTTTCGCCCAGGTCTGGTGTTAATGGAAAAGAGTAAATATAAACGGTTCAGTTTCTCTCTCTCGATAATTATCCCTCTAAGCGAAAAAAATAAAAGAAAACCTTATTTTTACGAATTGCTGTCATACAAACAAAACACTGAACCGTTTATATATACTGAAAATATATACTGAACCGTTTATATTTACTCTTTTCCATTAACACCAGACCTGGGCGAAACTCAAAATTTTTTTGGACGAAACAAAATTTTTTAAAAATCGTTTCGTTAAGAAACGAGACTAAACAAATTAAAAAGTGTTTCGTAACGGAACGACGTTATTCAAAAAACCCACGAAACAACGAAACGAAACGTTTCACCCACGTATGATTGACACTAAAATAGAATAGGATTTTCCTCAATTTACTCACTAGTGGTTATTTTCCCCTAATAATTACCTATTTGATTTTAGCCAAAAGACTGTCAATATCATATTGTTCGAGTTCTTGATTGTGTTAAAGGGCCTCGTAATTACAAAATTAAAAATGTTGCCAGAGTTAATTATCAATTGGTTTTGCCTTTCTATGGCCGGTATATTATAAATTGGATGAAAAGTTTTACGACTGTTACTGAACAAGGATTTCGAAATTGGATTGAAGATATGAAGGCTTGGGTATATTTTTTTAGAAAATTTCGAATTAGAAAAATTTCTAAAATTTCTTTTAGGATGAAAAATTGCCAACATTGGATGATATTCAAAATAAAGCTGCTGAACTTCAACTTGCTTTGAATGAAGCAGAAAATTTGCCTTCAATGATGGAGTTGGAAAGAATTCAGAAAGATGAGGAAGAAAAAGCTAAACGTGCAAAATTGCCTGTTAAAACAGCAAAAGATTTGGAAAATTGTGTTTTAATTTGTGAATATCTTCAAAAATTGAGTAATTTTGAGGATTCAGAACC